TTTAGATTAAGTATCGAACAAAATATTTTGGCGTATTTTTGAAATTTGAAAACCATTTTTTTTTCTATTTATCAAAACGTTTCAACCTGTAGTTTAACTAAATAGTAAACGAAATTGTATATGATATGTTTTTTTAAATAGTAAAGATAAAATTATAATCAATATGACTACAGATATAACGTTCTTATTCTTACAATAAATTACTACGCTTCCATACAAACGAACTAGAAAAAAACAATTCAATACTAAAGTTTTATAAATTTATAAAATACTATAACATAGAAACCGGTCTTAAAAGTTCAACAATAAAAAAAATTATTGTGTTGATAAATCAGCATTGTTATTTATTTCATATTCACTCCTTATTCTACATTGATAATGATCACAATTCTTTATTAATATAAATTTAAATATATTAACTAAATCTATAACTCAACTGCCAATCATATTAACACGTATCTGATATACAGGGTGATTCAACGTTGATGGTTGATTAGATGTTTATAGAAAGCCAGTCATAATATTCTTTTTACAGTGTGGTTGTTTCCTGTGAAAAGTGGCAGTATCTTTCATATTTTAAATAGAACACCCGGTATATTATTACATTTTAGGAAACTACTTTTCATATCTCATAACTTTTCTATTATACTACACTATATCTGTCTCTAATAGTTTTCGAGATATAAGCATATTTAAAGTTGAAATTTTTGGTAATAGATTAAAAAGTAAGTCAATATATTCGATCTGTCTAATACAACTGATTGGGTACCATACAGGGAGGTAAAAAAGTATGTATATTTATGTCCTATTCCTTTGCCTCTACTAAAGCAATTAGAAGATTTAAGTATAGGAACATGATATACTTTTTTTGAATAATAATTTTATTATCTTTTGATTATGGAAATAATTCAATCCAAAAAATAGCGAAAATTTGGGCATTCTTATAAGAAACGGAAATAAATACATACTTCTTTACATCACTGTATAAAATATCTAATAGGTTATTTAAATAGATCGATTATATAAACTTTCCTTAATACATACATAACCCAAATTTCAAGTTTCAGTATACTGAAATCATAATTTTATTAATCCTTATTCAAGATCGTGTTTTTGTCAACATTACACATACTTCATATTTTTTCTCGAAAACTATTAGACATAAATATAAAGAAGAATAACAGAAAAAAAGGAGTTTTAAAAATGCAATAATATACTGGAAGGACAAACTATCGAGGTCTGTTATAGGTTGATTTTTGTTTTATTCAGATATGGAGGTGATTCTCTCCTCTATACCTCTAGGATAGACTAATGTGAGAAATGTTCAATATTGGGACAAAATTGCATACGGTATCCGCCAGTATATTTTTTTTATATCTACATGGTCTATTCTACCATCATCGTGAATCGCCCTGTATATTTAGTTAAATCACTCAGTTCGTAATATACAGAAAAATTAAATTTAAAATCTTCTTCAAGTATTTAGATTTATTGATATTAACAGATCTCATACCGTACAAAACAACAAAATTTATTTTTCCTCTAAAACAATAATTACCAGATTACCCTGTATCGACAAAAATAATAAAAAAAAAAGAACAAAAACATACATTCTTGTATATCAGCTAAAGCAACAAGGCGACGATAGATATATTTATATAAACTGCTTAGTTTGGATGTACATAGAAAGAGCAAAACAGTTTTAGTCAAGTGTTTTACAAAATGAGTTTTTATGTGATATCTCAATGCAAATTAAATGAGCAGTCCTGAGGTTTAAGACGGATTTAGGCTCATTTAATCACAGATCGAGGTTTTATAGTAAAATGTTGTTGTAAAATGTTGACAAAACAATGTTTTTACCTTTATAAAAACATTATGTTTCGCAGTGTAGCAAAATGTTTCATTTATAATTAAATATGCCCAGCAGCAGATACAGAACGGTTTGTGACTAAAGATGTTTTACTATAAAACGCCGATCTGTGACTAAATGTGACTAAATGAGCCTAAATCTGTCTTAAACTTCGTGACTGCTCATTTAATTGCATTGAGGCATCACAAGAAAACACTTTTCGTAAAAAACGTCCTTTGACTAAAACTGTTGCTCTTTTTGAGTATGTCCTTATGAAACAATTAAACTCATTAGAATATACTTTTATATTCAGATAAACCCAGTGATTTTTATACTTTAATAATTATTTTCAGAGCAATTTAGTTTACTTAAGTAAAAAGAAAATACTGACAAAAATAATGCATGAGTAAAAATCAAAGTAGTATGCTTTAAACAATAATATATTAAAGTATAAAAATTCTGGATAATTCTCAAGAAAAAAAAAATAAATGTAAACTTTAGTGCCTACATTATTTAAGATCACTTTTATAACGCGTCGTCTTATCATTTTGCCACCTCCAATAAGAACCAAAAAAACGTAACAGAAACACACTGGCAAATAAAAAAACAATAAAAATTCTAAATATACACATCATAGTAACAGTTTCTTTTTAGCTTTAACAACATTGCGTGACAGTTTTGCAATTTTTTTAAAGCTACTTATATGTTTTTTCGTGTTATATAACTATCTAGGTATAATTTACAGACTTTTTTTACAGTATTTATATGTATATGGATTTTTGTTTTGTTTTCTGGCTTTTATTATAACAAAATTCTCAAAATAGAATGGCGCTTAAAGTGCGAAAACTGATTTATTGGTTAGATTTTTGCAACTGTTAGATTAAGTATGATTTCTCAAAGTGACATATAGTTTGTTCAACGCCTAGATACACCAAACGCAAACAATTAGTAGACATTTTTTGACACCACAAAATTTTCATGTGCCTTAAAGTTGAATAAATTTTGATCTAGTGGGCCGATTTTGATGATTTTTTAAGCAATTTGTTTGTTGCTGGATTATTTGACTTTTTAGCCTCTATTTATAAATTAAAAATTAAGTTCTCCTTTTGCCTATTATACGAGGGTAAACAAACTGTTATTATTTTGGTGAAAGTTTGAAACACCCTGTAGAATGGTTTAACAAAGTAAGGGATTTAAAAACCACTTTACCATCAAGATGCACCCTTTCTCAATAGTTTGTTTTTTCGTTCATCTCAATAGCTTTATTTTTATTGGAAATATTCACTTTTAAAGAAGACAGTATAGTTTTACAGTAATTTTAGCTTTAAAAGCATGCCTTTGCTTTTGGTCCTCATCACACCTATGAAATAGAGTTTATTTTTTTTTCTAATGTCACTGTCACGGAAAAGTCATATTATTAATGTATGTTGGCAGTTTCCTGTCTAACTGATTTGGTTTTAAGTACAGAAGTTGATCTCCGCCATGTTCAATTAAGGCAACAATAGTGGATAATTTCTAGACTTAAAATCATCCCTCCCGAGTAACTGTCAATGACAGTGACGTTACAAAAAACAATAAACATTAATTCATAGGTGTCTTGATAAGGACCAAAACAAAAGAAAACTTTTAATGCTAAAATTGTTATTAATTGGTACAATCTTCTTCAAAAGCGAATATCTCCAACAAAAATAAAGCTATTGGGATGAATCAAAAAACAAGTAATCGAGAAAAGACGCACCTTGATGATAAAGTTTTTTATATATTCCTTACTCGTTTAATACATTCCACAGGGTGTTTCAAACTTTCGGTAAAATAAATAGCAACATTCTGTTTTCCCTCGTATAATAGACAGATGGGGACACAAATTTTTAATTTAAAAAGAGGATAAAAAGTCAAATAATTCAGCTAGGAATTTCTTAAAAAATCAACAAAATTGGACCACTAGAACAAAAAATATTGAACTTTAAAATAAATGATAATCTATCTTCTCACATTGCAAGTAAATAATTATTTTAGATATTTACCCAATTAAATCAGTTTTCTAATTTCAATCTAATCAACTAAGCAATATACCCCACAACATGGAGTAGTCTTCAACCAGTCAATTACCTTTTTTTATTTTAATAACATGCATATCGTACTTCAATTTAAACACAATTAAAAAAAGGCAATTAACCAGTTCGTTTGGAAGTGAATTATACCACAAACTTTCGAAAAAAAGCTATTTTATCGTATTGTAATCACAAAAATAGTTTTTTTTTGTAAAGAAATAAATATCACTAATAGGAAAATAAATGTATATGCGAAGTAAGATAAAAAGTTGTCGCGAAAAAAAAAGTAGAGTTGGCTCCAAAACGTTTTGTGTTTTCGATAAAGGTCCCCGCAGACGCTCAGTTTTATCGGTCAGGCCGCCTCTGCAAACTTCGAAACCTGAACCCATGCATGCCTGTTAATTTTTTTTTCAGATTTTTTTGAATTCCTTGTGAATTCGTTGGAAGACTTGTATTTCAGTATGTAAGTCTATTTTTCGGGGTATAAAGTTACTGTAAACCTTTTTTATTCAGTTTTTGTGCCGTTGTAGTACTTTAACAATCTAATTTAAGGCGGTATACTAATATTTTGTTGTAGCATAGAGAATATTCCATGGGCTCCAGAGTTATGGAGCAATATCCAAGAACGTACAAAAAAGGGCTTTTTAGATTGGTGCAGAATTGTGGAAAAGTTGGCTGAAACCAAGCCTGAACCTGTGAAAGATAAGTATGTTTTTATTATACACTCATATGCAAAAACACGCAACGAAAATTTTTAAAGTATTTTCACAATTTTTTTAGCAAACTGTATATAAATCTATCAAATTCATAAACTCAGTTATTTATAAACCTTAGTATTTGGCTTATTATACAGGGTTAATTGAGGGGTTGTTTTTTACCTTAAATTAAAAACACCCTGTGCAATAATTTCGTGAGTAAGTTTTCCTAAAACATTATTTTTCGGTCAGAACCATGTCTATTGAGCATTTTCTTTTTTGACTCATGTCCACAAACGCCTTGGTTAATTTTTAAGAGCGAAATGAACTTTTTGCAATTTTTTCAACCATCATTATTTTATGATGTTATTTTTTAATATCACCAGGTGGCGTTGGTGACTATTGTCGTAATGTCATATCGACACTGATTAGAACTCTATATTTAAATTTAAAAAACGTTAAAAAGTAACGATACAGGCTTCATTTTAATAAATATTACTAACAGAACTAAAGATATTAACGAAAATAACTGTAATAACTAAGTGTCCAAACAGAAAAAAAGTTGTAAAAATACTCGAATACTGTCTGTAGACGTTGGTTCATACTGTTAATGAGGCCGCAAATATATAGTGTTATGTTTTCCCATTCTTCTTCAAGGACCAAGCGAATATTCATAATTTCGGTCATCTTCAACAAGATCAACGACTTTTGCACAATCTTCACATTAAGAACCATATTCAATCGTACACAACAATAATCACCAAAGCCACTTTGTCATTATGAAGAATAACATCAAAAAGTAACGACAATTGAAAAAATTGTAAAATATTTGTAGCAAGTTCCTATTTTGCTCTTAAAAATTAACCAACGCATGTGTTAACATGAGACAAACAACAAAATGCTCCGGCGACAACATGGTTCTGACAGAAAAATAATGTTTTAGGAAAATTTGCTTACGAAGTTAATGCACAGGGTGTTTTAAAGTTAGGGTAAAAAAGAACCATTCGATAAACCCTTTATAATAAAGCCCAATAAAACACTGAGTTTATGAATTAAGTTGATATATTTATAAACAGTTTGTAAAAAAATCATGAAAATTGGGATAAAAATAAAAAATATAACACTTTAAATATGACGAAAAATTTTTCAGAAGCAAATAGAGTTAAAAAGTTTAACAATTTAAGAAGTACTGTTACTTTAAAACTAGTCAAACTGACCTGGCAGTCCGTCTGCGTCAGAGAACTGAGCGCCTGCGGGGTCTCTAAAACGTTTTGGAGCCTCTATCGTTAGCTACTTCGCAGTATTGCTGATTTTTTGTGACGACATTTTACATTATAGCACTTTAACAGGATTTTCACTATAACAAAACTAGGTCCATCGGTAAGGGAACACTTTTTTCGCACTGCTTTTTCGCGCCCACCATATCCATAGCTTTCCGGAAAAAAAGCTCGAAGCGTGGCTCGTTTCAGATTAAAATATATTTTTTTACAATTTTCTCGCATTATTTTAAACTTACGCTACAGTTAGATGTTCAAATTCGTGACTAGTATCGGGTGTATGGTATTCTCCTCGTTATTATTTATATAAATTAAGTTTCGTTATTACTAAAATAGTCTCTTCTTAAGCACTTTTTACGATATAGATTTATAATCAAGTCTCACTTTATCACTAACACAGGTAGGACTAGTCCGAGTTCTTATAACTCATCGGAGTAATATTGAAAGTTTTGGCCGATAACGTTGTCCCAGGCTGAAAAAAATATAAACAAATATACCGGGTGCGTCTCAAAAGTGGCTCGCCCCTGTAACTTTTTTATTTTTACAGATAAAAAACGAGATTTAGTACGTTAGTATATATGACATAAATTAGGATTGATTGACGCATTCAATTGTTTTCGGTCCCTTCCTGTTTCACCGGAAATGACTACAACTTTTAATTTTTTACTTTACATTTTTACTTTATTTGATAAAAAATGACACACTAAATAGAACGACATATCATATGTCAACTTTTGACATTTTTGAGTCAGATTTCTATAGAGTGCCATGGCTGTGTTAACAACACTAATTTTTAATCAAGGAGCCTTGGAAAAATAGATTTGATCGACTAATGTTTTTCGTGTCATATCCTAGCCAGTTAAAAAAATGCCTAAATCGTATTTTTAATCATACCTCAATTTTTTCAAATAAAACAAGGGTGGTTCATTAGCATATTTGGAAAAAGCATTTTTTTACGTGTAATTTGGTACCATACACTTGGTATTTCGAGTCAAATTGTCGTTATGAACTGCATGTTACAATTTCAAATAAACTATATGGAAAAAAAGTTGACATTATGATATGTCATTTTATTCAGAGAGTCATTTTCTATCGAACAAATTAAAAAAATACCGAAGGTGCCATTTAAAAATTAAAAGTTGTAGTCATTTGAAACAGAAAGTGACCGAAAATAAATTAATACGTCAATCAATCCTAATTTATGTCATATACTAACAGACAAAAATTTTTTTTATCTGAAAAAATAAAAAAATTATAAGGGTGAACCGCTTTTAAGACGCATCCGGTATACTAAACAAGCGTTATAGATTCTTTGAATAAGAAGACTAAGGAAGGAGCATAATGCTATCCATGTATTCATGCATGGTGGGCGGAAAAAGCGCCATAAAAGCACTCTAGGGTGGGGATCCTTGACAGTTATGTTTGACGATTCATTTGACACATTTGAATCTGATTTGAAATTTTGTGGATTTGTCAGTCTTTACGGAGCTTATTTTATGTTATTTATTATTTATTCTACTACTGATAGTTGTATAAAGGCAGTAAATCTAGATGGAAATTGTGGTAGCACTTAAATTAACAGTGGCACTATCGCGATTTATCGAAAAAGACTCAAAAATAGTTGGTTGTGTAGCGTGCGGTAGATCTCGGCAAAAATTGAGTGAAATAATGGAACAACTTTTCGCTAGTAAGTGGCTATATAATATACATACGTGTAGTAAACCGATCATTTATGAAATTCACTTAAATTAACTAAATTATATATTTTTCTTGCATTTTAGCTTTTATTTATTACTTGTCAAAGATTAGATGTCAAAGAATTTAGATACGTTAATTTGACTTACCTGCTTCAGTAGCGTATCGGATGTTTGTGGTAAGAAATACTTATTATAACTTATCTATTTTTATTAGAATTATATATTTTTATAACAATTTTAATAACTACCAACATTTATTCACAACGTAAAATAAAACAACAAATTATTGAGTCTACCCCACGTCTACCCTACATCATAGTTTTACATTTTTTAAATAAAATTAAAACGACACTGATAAACCGGAATTTAAGTCGGCCATATTTGAGGCCCATCGCGGTGTACCTAAGATTTTTGATATGCTCCTTCCTTAGTCTTCTTATTCAAAGTTATAGATTACTTATACATTATACAGGGTCCGACAATAGTTAATTTGATTTACTAATAAAAAAAGGTAACAAATATTGATTGCACTTACCGGACGATATATAACTAACAATTTTGTCGTGGTTGTGTTTTATCAGATTCTTTTCGCTATTGGCCGGGGGTTTGTAACGTTTAGCCCATTCCTCAGCTTTAGAATGTGACGTTTCTACACTATTCTCGGTCGTCTACAAGAATACACAAACTATTATGGCGTCCTTAATATTTTATCGATATGAATTTACTTACATTCTCACTAATATTTTGGCTACTAACTAATAAACTTATTTCCCCGCCCCCTCCGCCACTGTCTTCGAGTAAGAGTTGCTCGTTAATGTCGAAACCAAAAACGAGACCCGAGGGAACGTCTTTGTTATGGCCTGACAGAATCACTACTGGCGGTGGGCTATTTGATTGGTTACTTGGTTCCGGAGACGAGAAAATCTCATCTGATACCCTAAAAATCAGAGTTGTTAAGTTTTAAACATGTTGCTTTTAAAAAAGTATTTCAAACATGTTTATAAGCCGAAGTGTACAAGATAGCTTAATAGCCGTTGCAAAAAACTTATCGCAAGCTTATTAGAATTTTTTGAACCCGAAATGGCTCTTTATGTCCCTTAAGTGCTGTTAAGAAGGTGTGTTGTGATGATGTACATAATAACTGTTTAATATATTTAGAAGTAATTTATTTTTGTTTCCTTCAAGTTAAGTTTCCGTCAAGCGTAGTCACGTGACTAAAAATTTATATTTGGTATTATGATCTGTAGAACACCATTGCAGAATTGTTTTAAACCATCGCACAGTGGTTCCCAGATAGATCATTACTTAGAAATATTAATTTCAAAATGTTTGCATGAAACTGTTGCTAATACTTTTCTTATATTCCCTTGTAAACGATACATAGTAAATAACAAAATCAAGTAAGCCTAGTGTAGCGCTTTTTTATTAGAAATGTCACCTTTTTGCTACTCGTATCAAGCTGACAAACAGTTTTCAGATAACGCCAATTAATTACTTATTTTATTAAAATTGATAAAAGCTGTTGCCTTTTCTGTAATGGACGTTCGAAAAGAAGGTAAAAAGAACTGTTTTTTTTTCTTTTTTGCACTTAATTAAACCTAAGTAATATTAGTTTATGGCAATTTATTTGAAGGCAACAAAAATTGTATTTTTACATTTTTGCTTGTCACTCTTTAAGACTTTTAACTACTTTCCCTTTCAAATCATCTTAAACGGCATGATAATACTTGTTGCTTAAAGTATATTGCATGTAAATTAATTGCCACTGGCTGCCGCGAATTGCCGCCGGATCTTATACCGGGTGGTTAAAGATTGACTTTTTGTCTTAAAATAAAAGTAACTTATTTTTTCCTCTTCGTGTCAACTTGTTTCGTGGACACACTGTATATCAATTGACAATAGTATTGTGTTTATAAAATGAAACAACTGTCTCTTTTATTTTTTCAACATTTAAAATAAATTTGACCTCTTCAATACGAAAAAACATGTACATATGTGCAAACATAATCTGTATATCTTTCAGAATAGTTAGAACTTAAAATGTAAATCAAACGAACTGGGCCCAATTTTTTTAATACATATTACATTAAATATTTTAATAAAAAAATTTTATATACATTTATTTAGCACTATTTGTTATAGTAGATGCCACGAATGTTTGGGAGCGATTCATCGGTCGCTACCACGTGAACTAATCAGTTCAAGGTTACATAAAACTTAATTCCAGTGTCGTGGTGTTTCAAGTCATATAATAATCAATATATAATCTGTCGTTTATGTTGTTTTTGTGCATGAAATTTTAAATTTATTATTATTGGTGAATATTACAACAATATTTATTAGTAACAAATTACTTAAAAAAGGATTCCAGCAAATTATCAAAGTCTTGTCAAAACATATATGTGGTTATAAATATATACTGGAATGCCCCATTGATCGCACTGCAAGAACACCAATGGATTGACGCATAAAAACGAATCAATCAAAGAAACGCGATATAGTATCGTCTTTGTCATTCACGCTAACATTTTAGAATAAGTAGGAGGAGCGCAGGCAGATGATTAGACCGGGCCTTTAAAAACCTACGTCTGCGGTAAAAATTTACGTTCTTAATGTAAAAATGATAGCGCGCGTGTCGATTCTAACTTCATCAAGCGATGAATCACTCCCAAACATTCGTGGCGTTCACTATATCAAGTTCTATTAAAAAAGGTGCAGTCAAGCTATATCTAGATATCTAACAGTTATGACCGCGCAGCTAATTAAGGGAAACCACTGTACACCGTTTTAAACCTTTGTTTGAAACATTTCCTGAAAAGAATTCTAGGCTTGTCGCCAATGGAAAAGAGTATTATTGAAGAACCAATCTAAACGAAAAATAAAGGTTTTAATCTAATCCTATATAAATAAATGTACTGGTCAGACCATCCTGATTTTAATAAATACAGTAGTAAAAACGTTCGTATAAATGTATGTCCCGAAATGCTTAGTTTCAGAGATTTTTTCCAAATAATTTCTGAAGTAACGTCAATATTTGGATGAAAATTGGTGCCTGGAAGTTTTTTGACATGATAAATTTGATTTTGATATTAATATGACTCCTACTTGTCGAGGGAGCCACCTGCATATTTTTTAATTGGTTTGAAATGTAATAACTTTTCACTTGTACCTGTATAAAACTACTGAGTAAAAAAATATACATTTACGACGTTTTTTACGTAAAAAAAGGTCTCTTGGTAAAAATCACTACGAGTAATATTTCTCGAGATATTTGGAATCAAAATTATCAATACCTGTCATCATTAACATAAACTAAACATGTTGACTAAATAGTTATTAGGCTCATAAATTTGAAATGCTTTTGTGCCAAAAGTTCCCCAGAAACTGTTTTATCATTATCTTTTCGCAGAAAAATTTATAATTAATTTAAAAAAATAAAAATTTCCAAAATTTATTATTTCAGTCAAATAACAATCTATACTCAACGTATTATTTTTTCTCAATCATGACATGTATCGACTATTTCCATTCTAAATATCTTGAGAACGGTTATTCGTAGCGATATTTACCAAGAGACATTTTTTGCGTAAAAAATCACGGGGATGTACATTCTTTCACTATGTAGTTTTATACAAGTACGGATGAAAAATTATTACTCTTAAAACCAGTTAAAAAATATTGTCCTATTGCTGCCAAAAGTCACTAACTAACATTTTTCCGAACAACCAAATTCAATCACTATGTTTTGAATCGGAGAATCGATTGCAAATGTCATTAACTACGATTTCTGGCTATTTATGTTTTATTTTAATACCGAATAGTTACTAACTATAACATCTTTATGCAATGCAATTCATCTTTAGACCCATTTTTCTCGGAAGTAATAAAAAGTAAGTTAGTGGCTTTTGGTAGCAATGGGACGATATGTAGGTGGCGCCCTCTATAAGTAGGAGTCACATTGACATCAAAATCAAATTTTTCATGTCAAAAAACTCCCAGACACCTATTTTCACCCAAATATTGATGTTGCGACAGAAATTATCTGGAAAAAATCAAAATAAAAATGAAACTTCTACACCCTGTATCTCCGAATCTAAGCATTTTAGGACATATGTACATTAATATGCACTTTTTTACTTATTTTTATCTGTAGAATGTGCTTCCGAAGTTTCCGGAAGACAGTTCGGACCACCCTGTATAACATAAATAAACATAATTAAAAATTAAAAACAAGGAAATCAATATAGAGAAAATTTAAGCTTTGAGGTTTTATTTCATTATACAGGGTTGGTCTTAATACTCTAAGAGCTAGCAACGTTTTCGAGAAAGTATTTTCAGATGTCTGGCTCTGATATATCTTTTACTATGCTCTCTGGTACAGCATTCAGCCCGTCTGTTTGCCGATACCCGTTGCGTTCACTACTGCGCATCGGAAGAAGGTTCTATATTTTTTATTAATTTAGTCCTATAAACTCTAGTATTGAATATAAATCGAACATGTCTCCATAGCGCAGTGCGTAGAGTTTCCGACCACGAACCGATGATTCAGAGTTTGAATCCGGGTCGGGGCAAAGACTTTTTTTATTTTATTTTCGTTTTAAATTCACACTAGTAAAAAAGTATTAAATATTTCTGGTAATTAAAAAAAACAAATATTTAATACTATATCTCTAAATATTTAATACTCTATCAGAATATAAACGAAAATAAAATAAAAAAGTCTTTACCCTGACCCGGATTCGAAATCTGAATCATCGGTTCGTGATCGGAAACTCTACGCACTGCGCTATGGAGACATGTTCGATTTATATTCAATACTAGAATTTAAATGACTAATAAAAATATAGAATCTTCTTTCAATGCGCAGTAGCGAACGCAACGTTTACCGGCAGCCAGACGGGCCGCATGCTGTTTTAGAGAGCATAGTAAAAGATATATCAAAGAGACGTCTTAAAATACTTGTTTTTCCGACGCGTTGCTAGCTCTCGTACTATAAATAAGTGCAAATATTTTTAGGAGTAGTATATTTCGATCCCAGAAACACGATTATATGAGTTTTTTTTGCGAAAAAAAAATTAATTTGGAATTTTTTTTAATTTTTAATTAAAAAATATAATTTTTGAACAGTTTGTAAAACAGTTAAAATCCTTTCTTTGGTAACTTACCCGTTAAGAATACTGCTAACGTCTCTTTCTCCCAAATTATTATCACAGACAGAAGAAAGACCACTATCGTCCCGGGCACAGTTCACTTTCGAACTATTTCCAGATTTTTTCCGTTTACTCTTACTCTGATTCGTACCGCAAGCAATGTCTTTTTGGTTTATACTACTCGACAAAGGGGTATAAGACACTGGCGTAGAATTATGTACCGTCACCTGAAAACAAATATTAACAATCTCATTATTATGGTGCCCCATTTTTTTATTCACTCAGATGAAAAACAAACCCAACGGAAAATTTTTGGTCAAGTTTAAAATGTTATATTTTTTTTTAATTTTTAGTCGTATTTCCTTGATTTTTTTTAGCATACCGTATAATATACCGACTTTAATTCGTAAACTCAGTTTATTATAAACTTTAGTATTTGACTTATTTACAGGGTTAACCAAAGAGTTGTTTTTGTGACGCTATATTTAAAACACCCTGTGCAATAATTTCATGAACAAATTTTCCTGAAACATTATTTTTGGTCAGAACCATGTCTCCTGGGCATTTTGTTGTTTGTCTCATGTCATGTTGGTTAATTTTTAAGAGCAAAATGAACTTGCCACAAATATTTTGCAATTTTTTCAATTATCGTTACTTTTTGATGTTATTCTTCCTAATGACGAGATGGCTTTGGTGATTGTTTTTGTGTACGATTGAATATAGTTATTGATTTCTTGATTTTCCTACGATTGATATAGTGTCGAAGGTTGTGCAAAAGTCATTGATATTGTCGAAAATGGCCGAAATTTTGAATATGCGCTTGGTCCTTGAAGAAGAATGGGAAAACAAAACAGAATATATTTGTAGCCTCATTAACAGTATGAACCGACATCTACAGACAGTTATAACAGCCGGGGAGAGTTTTTTTAAGGTTTTTGTTTGTTTGTACACTTAGTTATTACAGTTATTTTTTTAATATCCTTAGTTCTGTTAGTGTTACCACAGATTATACAGATTATAAACTTTGTTTTTTCTTTATTGTTTTTCGTGGTTCCAATTTTCGGAATCGGGCACTAGTTAGGTTACTAGTTTGCGCACATAGCACGCCCACTTATGGTCTCTAAAATTGTGCACAGCGCCTGACCGGCACAGTTATTAGAGAGATATCGGAAAACCGAATAGCGTCATGCAGTATTTACGCGTACCTTATCATGGTTACGATATGCGCGAGTCAATTTACAACGGAACGCCCGCTAATAACGTTACCGCCTGACGCTAATTTGCGGATCAATTACACTCCAAGAATAGTGGAGTTAAACTGTTCTTGAATTACCAAACGCTATTTCTAAATAACGTTTAAAAATTGCTTAAATGGCCGGCAAGATTTTTTATTTTAGGTTATGTTTGAATTGTTTTGAATTATTACTTTAGTTTTATTAGGTAATTTGATATTTACGTAGCTGGGATTAGTTTGAATTAAATAAATATGGCCCAAAATATGGATTCCACCTCTTCCAATATTAAAGAACCTATAAAGAGGCTTAGGTTTACAGCAGATGACGACTTAGCCCTTCTAATGGAATTTGTTGCTTGTTGCCCTAAACCCACTGGCAGACGTTGAACAATAAAGCACTGGAAATAAACACTTTAGCCCTTTAGTTTTAAAATACCTAGTAAACAAAACAATTTCAAAGTTTTAAATTCAAAGTTAGGTTAAGTTTAAATAGCGGACGCGACGCGAACAGAATTCTTTCCGATCCGATAACTATAAATGAAGAGAGTTAATACTACCTCACGTAAAGGAAATAACACCTGGCCTTATTAACGTCCATGCACGCTATTCGGTTTACCGATATCTCTCTATTACGCTGTTTATTGTTATTTTACGCGAGTTTATTTTTGCGCACAGGAAATTTTACTCGTTTGCTCATCGTCATAAAAAACAATTTTCGTACCACGAATTAGGGATAAGATTTTTATCTGTATACATATAGTATACCTAATCTATGGTGTTACTAATATTTATTAAAACCAAGCCTATATCGTTACTTTTTAACGTTTCTCAAATTTTAATTAAGAGGTCTAATCTGTGTAGATATGACCACAATAGTCAGCACTTGATATTGAAAAATAAAATCATAAAGTAATGATAGTTAAAGAAATTGTAAATTGTTGATGGCAAGTTCATTTCGCTCTTAAAAATTAACCAAGGCATGTGTTAATATGAGCCAAAAAACAAAAAGCTCAAGAGACATGGTTCCGATCGAAAACTACAGTTTTAGGACGAAAAAACTTACGAAACTACTGGACAGAGTATTTTAAAGTTAGGGTAAAGAACAACCCTTCAATTAACCCTGTATAACCAGGCTCATACTAAAGTGTATAAAAAACTGAATATATGAATTAAAAAAGTTTGCTAAAAAAATTATGAAAATATTACTAAAAATAAAACAAATATAAAACACTTTAAACTTGACGAAAAAACTTTTCCGTTGCGTTTTTATGCATCTGAGTGTATTATCGCTGATCTACTCACACTTTGGCCAGATAGAGATTGTGGTGATGTGGAGCAGTTCATAAATTGCAACTTCTCGATGGTGGACACGTCCACAATGTCCGGCGGCATTCGCTGAGTCGCGTACTGCGCCGTGTCCCTCATGAGCTGTGAAAAGAACTGGAATAAGGTTGAGAAGATGGGTTTATGATAGATGGATTTGTGTTGAAAGTGCTTGCTTTTGGTTAAGTGTTTTTTTCTTGGGAATATGCGTATATGATATTGTTATAATATAAATACAAATGCATCTTAAGAATGTACATTGAGCCTATCAAAATGTACAGAATATAAATCTTGAGATATTGTCGCCCAAAGCTGTACAGATATACAGGGTGTCAAAGAGTTCGAGACGCTTCTTCTTGCTTTGAAAGCCAAACGATCCGTGTGCGGACGGTCTAAAGGTTACGATGGCATCGATTTTAGTATTATTAGTTAAATAATAAAATGTACAGGGTAGGTCAAATTCGACGCTTTTAAATGGAAACACCCTTTTCTATAGGAGATAGACGAAAACTATTATCGGTGTCTGGAGCTCAATTTTCATCAAAAACATGATGGTGAAAACCGCACATCAATATCTGTTACCGTTTCGGAGTTACGGGGTGTTTTTCGTTGATCGCTGTAACTGTGTGTTCGTAAATCACTGTAACTTTTTTGTTATTGAAAATTTTGTATTTCTATGAAAACATTTCCAAAGCACCTTTTTACGTAGAATTTAATGGTTTAAGTATAATTTTTTTAAAATGAATAATTTAAGAGTTATCAACAGAAAAATTGAATTTTTATTTTGGACACCCTCTATATTTTTAATTAACCGAAAAGAATTTAAAATTACCTTTCCAAAAATATAGCACACTTGATATTTTGTTATAATCCCCTTCGAAATACAGAATTTTTAAAAGTTCGCACTTTTAACTAGTAGACTTTGGACTTTAGATTAACAACAACTTTGGACCCCTTACTGAAGATATGCCCTTAATGGAACTCGAAAACATATTTTTCCAGCAAGACGACGCACCGCCTCTGAACGCTGAAGTTATCAGCAAATTTTTGCAGCCAATTTCAAGAATAATTGGATAGCTAACCAAGATCCCAGCCGTTGGCCGCCGAGGCCGCCTGACTTAGTGCCCATGGATCTAATCCTATGGATATATTTGCGGAAGAATAAAGGTTCCTTATTCTTCCGTATAATCTAGACAAGAATTAAAAATACTTAGCAGTTATGAGAGGGTATCTTTCACCCCCACTGAGTTAATGAATTTCGCGAGAAATGTTTAAAAACTGCCCCGTCTGTCCATAACAGAAGACGGTCGATATGTCGAACACCTGTAGCAAAATCTCATGCCTTGGTTTGCTATTTATTTTTATTGTTATTAGATATAGTTTAAATGTGTTGATGTTGAATATATTTTAAATTGTTATAAAATTCTGCATCTCTCATAGCAAATATTATTTTCGTTTTAATTGATGCTCACAGCTAGAATTTTTTTGCATTACAGCCGGTGCCGTTCAAAGCCTACTTATTTAAAGCCGGCGAATTTTTATATACTCTATATCTCGAAGAGGAATCGAGCAAAATATCAAGTGTGTTATATTTTTGGTAAGGTAATTTTAAATTATTTTCAATAAATATCAAATATACAGGGTGTCCCATATAAAAAATCAAATTTTCCGTTGATAATTCTTAAATTATTAATTTAAAAAAAATTATACTTAAACCATTAAATTCTACGTAAAAAGGCGCTTTAGAAAAGTTTTCATAAAAATACAAAATTTTCCATAGCAAAAAAGTTACAGCGATTTATTAAAAATGCATATTTTTGAAAAACACCCCGTAACTCCGAAACGGTAACAGATATCGATATGCGGTTTTCACCAACATGTTTTTGACAAAAATTGAGCTCCAGACACCCATATTAGTTTTCGTCTATCTCCTATAGAAAAGGGTGTTTCCATTTAAAAGCGTCGAATTTGACCCACCCTGTACAGATATACAGGCTGTCAAAAAATAGTGCATCTCACTTCGGTGAGTGATTCAACAGATAAAAATAAAACAAACATTTCCTATGAACATATATGCCCTAAAATGCTTCCCGAAGAAATTACAGCCCTTGAAAGGTTAAATAAAAATAATATATTTTGTTTATTTTTAAGAACATTGGTAAACCATTTTTCTTGAAATTTGGTATCTTTAGACAAATTTTAACGCCAAAGTGAATGACGATAGTGTAAAATTCCTTTAGGGTAGAGAGTACTGATGGTAATTCTGTTATCCATATAGATACAGTAACTTTAACGAAATAAAAAGCTAGGACTTTTTTACTTAAAAAACATGCTCTTCGTTTAGTGCGAAACGATGAAATGTTTTCAAGATATTTACGTTTAAAGGTTACGATACGATGTCTCGATTTTATAAATGGACAAATGAAAAGAAATTTTAAATAAATTAGTCTCATGATTTCGCCAATACTTAAATCGATGCATCGTAATCTATAAACGCAAATATCTTGAAAACCGTTCACCGTATCGTGCTCTTCGTTTAGAGCACCTTTTTTTACATAAAAAGTCCTAGTTTTTTATGTCATATGTGTTAAAATTACTGTATCTATAAGGATAAAAGAAGTACCACCAGAAGTACTCTCCCCTAATGGAAAGTACCCTTTCAGGGCTGTTACGGAACTTTACACTATCGCTATTCTCTTTGGCACTAAAATATGTGTAAGAGTACCAAATTTCAAGAAAAACGGTTTACTAATGTTCTTAAAAATAAACAAAATATTATATTATTTTTATTCACCTTTGCGAGGGCTGTAACTTCCTACGGAAGCATTTTAAGGCATACGTTCATAGGAACTTTATGTTTTACTAATTGAAGCCTGGCGCATCCGCCACGACATCAGTAAGAAAAAATACTTTTTATTTTTTTTTTAATTAAATGAAAAACAAAAAATCCGGCGATGACAGTTTTTAGAAGAGCCAATTAGCTATCTTTTAGTAAAAAAAGCAACTTTCTAGAGCAAGTCGTTACTTCAGTAGAGACGACAGAGATAAACATTAGCATTTTATGTAGATTTTTATCTGTAGAATCGCCCACCGAAGATAGATACACTATTTTTTTGACACCCTGTATACCTACTTGTACCTACTTCTTAATAAACGTTCTATCTCCAAAAATAAAAAAGTTGTTGCCTATATTTTTGTTTGGCTTTATAAGAAACAAAATAAAATCGAATTTTCATAAAGGACGTACTTATAGATAATGTAAATAACAGTCATTAAAAATGAATCATAACAATTTAAAAAAAAAATTGGTAGTTCTTCCTATTTCTCTGAGCTTACCTCTCCATATGCTTACCTTAACATTTGCTAAATATCTAGAACCCATCACTATGAACTTATTATTAAAACTATCAAACAAAATTATATACTTTCTAAATATATTGGATATTAGATTCGTGAAAAAAAAAAGAAATACTTCACTTGGAGTAGATATATAGTGATAATAAAAATAAAAACAAGTCCCTTATCAAAAAAACCTAATAAACAATATTTTTCATGATTGCGTACTAGAATGTCGTCGCTTTTAACAATGACTCATTTGAATTTTACCTGATAACAAGTAGTTAACTGAAAATTGAAAACCATTGTTTTATAAATTTCGTTAGCACAAAAATTCTTGAACTAGAATAACCTTAATTAGAAATTTTAATTCTTTCCATTCCGAAAATGAAGATAAAACCAATGAATAGATGATTATTTACATTACTTGAGGTAAAAAGTTTATATTAAAGAGTTTTGAGAGGCCATGAGAATATGCCCAACAGCAACGATGGAGGTCATTCTAGACCTAACGCCACTGCACATTATCGTCGGTAGATATGTCAATGTGAAAATGATTAGAATCAGCATTGACTCATAGATAAAGAAAACAAGTTTAGATTGGAATGCTCGGCTTACCGCCAAAACTTATTATTGTTTTGGGGCGGATACGTTGTACGGGATCTGGCGCTGCTATAGAGGTTGCTAAGAACAACCTTAAACAAGAACAGAAACTTTGAATAAGAAGACTAAGGAAGGAGCATATCAAAAATCTTAGGTACACCGCGATGGGCCTCAAATATGGCCAACTTAAATTCCGGTTTATCAGTGCCGTTCTAATTTTATTTAAAAAATGTAAAACTATGATGGTATGATGTAGGGTAGACGTGGGGTAGACTCAATAATTTGTTATTTTATTTTACGTTGTGAATAAATGTTGGTAGTTATTAAAATTGTTATAAAAATATATAATTCTAATAAAAATAGATAAGTTATAATAAGTATTTATTAACACAAACATCCGATACGCTACTGAAGCAGGTAAGTCAAATTAACGTATCAAAATTTTTAAGTAGTTTAAGTAGTAAATAAAAGCTAAAATGCAAGAAAAATATATAATTTAGTTTAAGTGAATTTCATAAATGATCGGTTTACTACACGTATGTATATTATATAGTCACTTACTAGCGAAAAGTTGTTCCATTATTTGACTCAATTTTTGCCGAGATCTACCGCACGCTACACAACCAACTATTTTAGAGTCTTTTTCGATAAATCGCGATAGTGTCACTGTTAATTTAAGTGCTGCCACAATTTCCATCTAGATTTACTACCTTTATACAACTATCAGTAGTAGAATAAATAATAAATAACATAAAATAAGCTCCGTAAAGACTGACAAATCCACAAAATTTCAAATCAAATTCAAATGTGTCAAATGAATCGTCAAGCAGAACTGTCAAGGATCCCCACTCTAAAGTGCTTTTATAGTGCTTTTTCCGCCCACCATGCATGAATACATGGATAGCATTATGCTCCTTCCTTAGTCTTCTTATTCAAAGAACAGAAATAATGTTCTCTTGTCAAAGTCAGAATCATAAAAAAATATAAAATCTTTCAAAATTTAAACTGCCCTCATTGAAAAAATACTGAAAAGTGTTTAAAGCGTCCATTTTTAAAGTAATTATTGCTATCTTGTGAGTTTAAATTAAATTTTATTTACTCAAACCCGTGATAATTGTGAAAAAGTGGCATTAAAACCTTAAAAAGCTGTGTGAACTGTGAACTGCAAAAACCATCGTGGATCGTGGCATAACGTCGGTCTGCAATGTATCATAGGTATTTCATACATGTCCTTAAATAAAATAAAAATTTCTTATAATATACAACACACAATATTTTATTAAAAAAATTAAAAGAAAATAAATTTGAATAAATAATATTTATGCGACATAATTCCGGAAAAAAGAACGAACCGCTCCGAAATTATCAAAAGCTTTGGAGAGCGACCATTGTAAAAATAGCGCCAAATAGTATTTACATCGTCCTTATGGGCACTTTCCAATCTAAATCTTGATTCCTTTATACAGGGTGTTTCAAAACAAATGCGAAAAACTCCAGGGGACGATTCCTTGTTCAAAATAAAGGGTAGTTTGCTTCATAAACGTTGGGTCAAAAGTCAACCATTAGGGAGATATCGCGGTACAAAGATGGCGGAAAGATAATGTTTTTATTTTTTATCTTGAAAACGAAAAGAGATAGACTAATAAAATTTTATGGAAGCGTTACTGTTATGAAAACACACTTTCTGGCAATTTTTTCACTTTTTTAAAATGAGTGGAAGGGGTTGAAATAAACTACCCCTATCATTCTTGTTAACGAAATTTAAAGAAAAATCTTATCAAACACATGCACAAAATTAATTTGGATAGCTTAGTTTGTTTAGAAACTTTTTTATCTCTTGTATTTTTTTGATAAAACTCACCGATTTGAAATTAAAAAAATAAAATGTAAAGCATTACATGTCAGGACAAAAAACATTTTCTGATAAAGAATCTAGTGGGCTGCTGTAATTTTTTTAGGAAAAAATCTAGTCGGCCGCTGTTATTTTTTAGGATGTTCCTAATATTATTTTATTTGACATTACTCTACTGCAATACGTTATTATCTAGATGATTATTATTATCGTTATTATCACTAGATTCTTAATCTAAAAATGTTTTTTGTCCTGACATGTAATTCTTTACATTTTATTTTTTAATTTCAAATCGGTGAGTTTTATCAAAAAAACACAAGAGATAAAAAAGTTCCTAAACAAACTAAACTATCCAAATTAAATTTTTGCATGTGTTTGATAAGATTTTTCTTTAAATTTCGTTAACAAGAATGATAGGGGTAGTTTATTTCAACCCCTTCCACTCATTTTAAAAAAGTGAAAAAATTACCAGAAAGTGTGTTTTCATAACAGTAACGCTTCCATAAAATTTTATTAGTCTATCTCTTTTCGTTTTCAAGATAAAAAATAAAAACATTATCTTTCCGCCATCTTTGTACCGCGATATCTCCCTAATGGTTGACTTTTGACCCAACGTTTATAAAGCAAACTACCCTTTATTTTGAACAAGGAATCACCCCCTAAAGTTTTTCGCATTTGTTTTGAAACACCCTGTATATGCACTGACTGAAACAGTACTGGGAGAATTGTCAGGTCAGGCGCTTGGAACACCCTCAAAAGGAAAATTCCACTCTTCCAACTCCAAGTAGATGACATATCAAGAAAGTACAACTTTGAGGAACACCTCACTGTGGTATTGAGCAATGAAAAGGATTGGAAGAGAGAAACATTTACTCAGCAGGTAAAAGACCATAACGTGGCATATTGATGCTTCCAAAACCAAAGCAGGGACAGGGATAGGAGTATTTGGACCGAAAACTAAGTACTCCGAACCAATGGACACCTACCCCAAGCAGAAATCTACGCTATCGAAAGATACGTACAATTTATCTTAGATAGGAACTATCAGAAACAGGAAATAGCTATCTTATTCCATAGTCAAGCAATACTAAAAGCGAACAACTCAGTAACCATCAATTTGATGTTGGTCAAAGAATACCTAGAGAAGCTGAACACATCAGGCAAAGAAAATAAGGTCCTCCTACTCTGGGTGCTAGCTCACCTAGGGATAGAGGGCAATGAAAGAGCAAACGATGCTAGAAAAGGAGCGAACACTCTACTAACTGGACCAGAACCGTTCTGCTTTCCAAGTGGAAACCAACTTAAAGCGGAACTCAAGAACCTGGAAGACTCCATCAGTAACCTGGAATGGGAATCCTCCAATGGTCTAAGACACTGGAAGAAATTTTTGAGAACTTACGATCGAGAAAAATCGTTGGCTTTAACAAAAACTGATCTAAAATCGCAGGTAAAACTTCCAGTGTATGTTAGTCTTAATGCGTCTTGCCTGACAGGAAAAACGGTATGTCTAATTTATTAACTACTACATACTTAAAAACAATTTGACTTAAAGTTAAAAAAATTAAGTAACGATTTATTTTTAAAAATTAGTCAAAACAAAAAAAACACTGGTTAAATAATACAACAGATAAATAGAAAATAGATCTTAGATTTTTAAATATTTTTAAGAAGTTTAAAGGAGTAGTGTTAACACTAGAGAAATCATATTATTATTAGGAAACTACACAGAGTAAGTTTTAAATAAGTGCATATACATATTTTTATGTGTGGTATATTTCGATCGCAGGGGAAACTGGTATTTTTTTGTGAAAAAAAAATTGTGATCTTTTTTTTATTTTCGGTTAAAAAAGGTAATAGCTTGATTATATAGAATCATAGGTATAGTCTATAAAATGAATAACTTTGAATTTTGACCGTTATTTTTTACCAACATGGCAAATATAAAATCCCTCTGTCAAAAAAGTTACTGATATTCTTTAAATTGAGTGCCTGAACTAGCCTGAACGAATCAGATAGGTAACTCTTTTTACTTTCGTGAAATAGAAAAGGAAAATAATAAAACAAGTGACAGTTCTTCCTCTTCTTGCAAAACTCAACGCGAAATGTCATAATTGACAAAAGTAAAATGTCATCAGCTTTTGACATTTCTAAATATTAGACCAATGCCGTCTCTATTAGAACAGCCACGGAGCGAGATTTATGACGTCACGCTAGTTAGATAATACGGATTAATAAATATATTGGAGAATACATGGAAACATAATTATTCCTCGTATTTTTGGTTTGTATTTTAAAAATGATATAGTTTACATGAAATATACATAATATACAGTTAATAAATACAATATAATATATACCTATTTATTGTAATAAATACTTTGGCTAATAAACATGAACCATACAAATGCAGCAAATGTTTTACAATATACAAATAATGAATAGGTGGTACATAAGATAATGGGTAAAATGTAAAATATATTTTAAATTTTGGGGTTCGAAAATCAATCTAATTTAACAAAAAACATTCAATATCTACTAATAGTGATGTATTATTATTTGCATTCACAAAATTTATTTATATATTATAATGTTTACTGCAATTAATAAACTAATATAAACTTGTCAAAAGATGACCACATATTTTTTTAAATTATTATTCTTAACACAAAAACTATCTACATTGACTATGGAGTACGATTTCAGTCATATTGTAAAACATTTGCTGCATTTGTATGGTTCATAGTTTATCTGCCAAAATATTTATTAATATAAATAGGTATATATATTGTATTTATTAACTGTATATTATGTATATTTCATGTAAACTATATCATTTTTAAAATACAAACCAACAAATCGAGGAATAATTATTTCCCATGTATTCTACAACATAGTTATTAATCTGTAGTATCTAACTAGTGTGACGTCATAAATCTCGCTCCTAGGCTATTCTATTAGAGACGGCATTGCGTCAGCTTGGCCCAATGGCTTGGCCGCAAGTTGCTAACCTAATAAAATTAACACTAGAAAAGCCCGCGGGAACTGTCAAATTCAAAGTTATTCGTTTCACAGACTATAATAAATAGATTAAATTTAGAGGAGTAAAATCACAGAAAAAAAATCAGTAGTTCTGAAAATTTAAGCAAATATGTGTATTTTATTTTCAAAGTAAAATAACTCAACTATATTCCATACCAATTAAACTTTTAGTTACGTAATCGAGGGCGCAATTTTCAAATTTATTGTTGCCAACAGTGGACGTATTCGGCCCCGGGCTAACTAACTGGAATTTAAATTTCCCGCTGGGGATTCAGGGGGTAGCTCTGCTGCAAAAAATGTCAAGTAGCCATATTTATTTATTTATTTCCTGACATTGTCATTCGTTTTGACACTTTAGTTTTAAATGATTTGTGTTGTGATTTTGTGATATTTTAAGCTTAACATTTGTGACTAGCAGACCTTGCAGTCGAACACTGTTCTTTTTAGAAGTTCTTTAGAACCTCTTTTAGTGCGAAGTGTACAAGATAGCTTAATAGCCGTAAAAAACTCATCGCAACTTTATTAGAATATTTTGAACGGGAAAAGGGTAGTAATGGCCCTTTGTCCCTTAAGTGCTGTTAAGCAGGTGAGTTTTGTTGATGTAAATAATAACTGTTTATATATTTATAATTAATTTATTTTGGTTTCCTAAAATATTTTGATTAAAAGAAAATATGTAAAAGTCAAGCTTAACCACCTGACTAAAAGTTTATTTGATATGAACTATCTTTTGGATTTCTTTGAAAAACAATAAAGAAAAAATATCTTTCATTTATCGAGATCTACCAGCCCTGAAAATATGTGCACTTATTTAACACTCACCCTGTATGTAAATAATAAGAGCAGAAGCAATACAGAAATGTAAAAAAATGAGTTAGCCCCTGTTTAGCATGTCACTAATAAAAGCAATTGATAAGAAAATCTAAAAAATAAGTGATGCAAGTCTAAGAAGCATAAACCCCAAAAAACCACAACCAAAAAGCAGCAAAAAGCACAATAAAATGAGGATACATTTTTTGTCTATATTATACCATCCTTCGTTAGCTATTCAGACATATATTGTTAAAAATATAATAACTTTTGTGTAAACCTTTTGTTCCAAACCAAACCAAAACAACATTATTCTAAAATATATTTAAACAAACCGTCAAATAACCTTTGAGAAAGATTGTAACAAAAAACGATCCACATTTTATCATATCTAGTAAAAAGCTAACTCTACTCACCGGCAATTCGTTGTGAACTTCACACTGCCTGCTCACGAAGGCCGTCACGCTTTGGTTCACTTGAATCGCCGAACTCTCCCTATTTGGCACACTGGCTTTAACCGTTTCTTTGTTAGCTTTCGTTTTGACAGGGTTAGAACTCGGTTTTTTACTGCTGGTAGGCGTGGTTAACGCGGAGATCGTATTAGTTGACACAGTAAACGTCAGATCGTTCGGTACGGGGGTACTGTGTATAACCTCACTTACGAAAATTGTTTCTTGTGACTTAGTAACACTACTAACGAGAGGAGGGGATTTTTCTTGAACAAAAGATTCCTCGAATGTCAATGGAGATTGCACAGCCTTATCACTTGTTGTCATGGTTGTCGTAGAGCTCTGGTGAGACACTACAGTGTTCGAACTTTTCGTTAAAGTTCCGGTAATAGCCGGGAAGCTTTTTATGTTATGCACGTCGGGAACAACGTTTTTGTGTACACTAGAAGAAATATTAACAGTTGAGGAGGATGACGTTGAAGAACTAGACGATTTTTCAACGCTTGAAGTGAGGTTATGTAAGTTTTTGAACTCGTTTTCGTACGATTTAGTAGTTGTACGAGATTGAGGTTTCTCTTTCGTGGTAATAACTAGGGGGCGTTCTTGTTTTTCAGGGCTGGGTTTCTTTTTCTCGCTGTTCTTTGCTGTAAATCAAAATTGTTAACGTTTAAATCGTTCTAAACAGAATAATGTTTTTTATACCTATATCAGCGTAAGATATGGGTCCGTCCATGGGTAGTGAGTGAACTGAGTCGACGTCTGATGAGGAATCGTTGCTTTTCTCGCTATGTGGCATCGATCGGGTAGTTTTAACACTTGAAACACCTTAGGAGAGAAAAAAAATGTAAATAATAAAGCGACAAATCATTTCACTAAAGTCTTTGAATAAAAAAATTAAGGAAAGAAAATATTTAACACAAACATCCGATACACTACTGAAGCAGGTAAGTCAAATTGACGTATCTAAATTCTTTGACAAGTAGTTAATAAAAGCAAAAATGCAAGAAAAAAATATATAATTAGCTAATTTTAAGTATTTTTTTTTAAGTATTTTAAAATAATTTTAAGTGAATTTGATAAATGATCGGTTTATTACACGTATGTATATTATATAGTCACTTACTAGGGAAAAGTTATTCCATTATTTCCCCCGATTTTTGACAGAGATCTACCGCACGCTATACAACCAACTATACAGTCTTTTTCGATAAATCGCAATAGTGTCACTGTTAATTTAAGTTCTGATACAATTCCCTTCTAGATTAACTACCTCTAAACAATTACCAGTTGTGGAATAAATACTAAATAACATAAAATAAGCCCAGTGAAGACTGACAGATCTACAAAATTTCAAATCAAATTCAAATGAATCGTCAAACAGAACTGTCAAGGATCCTGTCCTAGAGCCATACCTCCATCTACCATGCATGAATATATGGATAGCATTATACTCCTTTAATCTTTTTAATCAAAGAGATTCTACCTGTATTTTTAATGCGCTCAAAATTTCAAAAAAAAAAATTGTTTACTTACCGACAATAACAACTGCCAAATCAGGTGATGCCGCTCTTCCGCTCCTTCTTTCATCGTTACTCGATGACATGCCACCCATTGAACTAGTCTGCCTACCCGCGCTTGCGCTGCTCACACTGATCAAAACAGAAAACAAAATAATTATGAAATAGAAAACTCGCATTTTTTTATCACACACGGTATATTATTGTCAACCCATTGTAATCAACCCGTTGTCCTTTATTTTATTTTATTTAATTTAGCCATCTGTACTGTTTGGAAATTTGTTACATCTTTAAAAATAATCAAAAATGTCAATAATCCATGAGTATATTGATAAATGAGGTCTAAACTAAATACAAACAGAAAAACTTCAGTACAATATATGGTTTTCAAAAACTAAATACGCTTAGAGAAATGAAATTAACATTAAAATTGTTACTGCATTTTCACAAAATCGTAACTACATATTTCAAAAACGGTAAGATTAAAGCGCGGTAAACTCTAATTAAATTTACCTTTATTTTAATCGTAGAAACTAAAATTGTAATAATATACAGGGTGTCCCGTTTAAAAAATAGAACTTTGATATTTTATTTATTTGGAACACTCTATACCTTTTGAAAATAATTTTAAATTGTAGCTTTTGTAGTACTCCGACGATCCCATTACTCACAATTTCTAAAAATCTAATCGCGTGGCTATAATACTCCTCGTCGAATGAGGTGAATAACCCTGTATAAAGTCTAATAGACAATATTTATAATAAGTCAATTACCTGTTTCGTCGTTTTTTGCTCTTCTTCTTTGGCCTGGTCACAACCCAATTGTCGGCTGATGTTTCTAAATTTTCTAAAGACGTGGCGTTATAGAACGTTTGAAACGAGGAAGGCTAGAATAATAAAAAAAACGAGTTATATAACCAACTAAACATAATATTCAGTAGTTGTTAATATGTACCTCAACGGTTCCCCAAGATCTTCTTTCCCGAGTTCTATCTCCGATAGTTTTATTCGTTCTTAAAACGACATTTTCGTCGTCTTGATCGTTCTTCTCACCGAAAGCTTCGAATTCTCTGCCCAATTTCCTCTCGGAAATTTCACCAAGAGAGTTGCTTTTCTGTAACAACATAGAAATCATAGTAAAACAAAACAATAGCGCTATAAATAAAACAAATAAGAAGCTTAACTTCCATAGTCCACAAATATTTACAAAATTGTGAGTAAATATAGATTTAGCGCCCAACGTGGGGCGCGATATGTTTATCTGTGTCATCTCTACTGAAGTAACGACTTGCTCTAGAAAGTTGCTTTTTTTACTAAAAGATAGCTAATTGGCTCTTCTAAAAACTGTCGTCGCGGGATTTTTTGTTTTTCATTTAATGAAAAAAAATAAATAAAAAGTTTTTCCTGATGTCGTGGCGGATGCGCAAGGCTTCAACTAGTAAATAATAAATAACATAAAATAAGCTAAGTAAAGACTGAAAAATCCACAAAATTACAAATCAAATTCAAATGTGTCAAATGAATCGCCAAACAGAACTGTCAAGGATCCCCACCCTAGGGCCCTCTCTCCGTCTACGCTGCATGCATAGTATTACACTTCTTCCTTAATGTTTTTATTCTAAGAAAGAAGCGAAAAAAATACAGGGTGGCACAAACAATCTTTACAACGATTTTACTGGCCAATCTTACCTTTAATTCATGACGTCCAGTACCGGTGTTGCCATTCTCCTTGCCGCCGGCCTTGGGGTGCTTCCTCTTGCCGGTTTTCGAACCGCCATCTTCGGAATTGTGCTGCTTATGGAACTGCCTAGATTTGGAGGATTGTACCGAGCGAGATTTCAAACTATTTTCCGTGGTTCCCTCGATGTAATGCACCAGCTGTTCCACGTTATCAATAATTTCGGATCTGTGTCCCTCGATCTGTTGGCATTATTTTATTTTTATAAACGAGTAGTTACACTAAAAAAATCAAACTAATAGTTTTTCTGAGTTTTTTTTATTAGAGGAAAAAAAATGATTCAAGGCCATTAATTTTGATAAAGATATGATTTTTATAAATCAGCTTTGTAGTACTACCCTACGATCGAAAAAAAACGGTGTCAGAGTGGGCTTGAAAATAAAGACCAACCGCTATTTCCAAGTAAACTTGACTTGACTTTCCAAGTAAACTTGAACTTTTTTTTCCATTCGTTCATAATGATTGATATAGTTTACTTAAAAAGCTGATGAAATAGTCCAGTCCTGAATATAAAAATATACGCATCTACAGGGTTATTCACCTCTTACATTTTTAGTTTCTAAGATTAAAATAAAGGAAGATCTAATTAAGGTTTAACGCACTTTAATCTTACGGTTTTTGAAATATTTACGTTTTTTGTGAAAATACAGTTAACAATTTTAATGCTTCATTTCTCTAGGCGTATTTAAGTTTTAAAAACCAAATATTGTACTGAAGTTTTTCTATTTACTAAATTTTGTGTAGAAATAGTAAAAGCGACACTACCTTATACAGAGTGTCTTGAGTGAGAATAATTACTAGCTTTCAACGGCGATAACTTCTTTAATTTAAATGGAACACCCTGTATATTTTACGACAATCAGATGCACAATTAAGTTGTTTATCAAATTGTGTTATACCATTTTTTACCTATCTCTTCAAGTTTTCGTAGAAAATGCATTTTCTTATAATTTAGACCTGACCAATATACCTATGGAGTAATGCCATTTTAGATTAAGGTAGTATAATTATTGCCTAAAGTAAGGCAATATTATTGCTACACGAAATTTGGTAAATAAAAAAACTTCAGTACAATATTTGGTTTTAAAACCTTAAATACGCCTAGAGAAATTAAGCATTAAAATTGTTACTGCATGTTCACAAAATAATAAATATTTAAATGATAAGATTAAAGTGCAGTAAACCTTAATCAAATTTTCCTTCATTTTAATCGTAGAAACTAAAAACTTAATATACAGGGTATTACATTTAAAAAAATACAACTTTTATATTTTTTATTTATTTGGGACACTCTGTACCTTTTGAAAGTAATTTTAAATCGTAGCTCTAATAGTCCACCAACGATACTATCACTCACAATTTCTAAAAATCCAATCATTTGGCTACATGTGAATAACCCTGTATAAACACACATATACAGATATTAAAAAAAAATCACTTACATTTTCCGACTTCAAAACGACCACATTCTTATCGGCCTGCTTCTTCTTCTTTTTCTCTTTGTTCTGGTGGAGGGCGTTCCCATTTTCGTCCACTTTCTGAAAATAAAAGAACTATTTTCCGTAAAAAATACTTCAAACTCCATACCCACACGTTTGTATTCTCAAAACCATCGAAAAAAAAACAAATCACTAAAAATAAAACAATATTAAGTGCCCTAAATTACGCTGTAACCCTTAAGGAGCCGCCCTTATTACCGAGTATTTGCTCTGTACCATTTTAGTTATGGAATTTGAGTCGGCATTTTTGTCAGATCCGCCTTCCAGGTCCAAGGATAGGGGGTCGTCCACATTTGAGATTGCTGAGGCACGAGTTGCTGAAAAAAGAGGCAAACGTTGCATTAATGTTTAAGTTTATTATGCAGGGTGGTCTGGATTGAATTCGGGAAATTTCGGCAGCATATTCTACCGATAAAAATAGGTCAAAAAAGTTCATAAAAATCTATGTCCTAAATTGCTTTGTTCCGAAGATATAGGGTGTAGAAGTTTCATTTTTATTTAGTTTTTTTTTTCAAATAATTTCTGAACCAATGTGAATATTTGGATGAAAATTAGTGTCTGGGTGTTTTTTGACATGAGAAATTTGATTTCGATGTCAATTTGACTCCTACTTGTAGGGGGCGCTACCTACATGTATTTTAACTGTTTTGAATAGTAATAACTTTTCGTCCGTAACTGTATAAAACTCAGGGTTGGAAAAAATCATGATTTTTTTGATTTTAATAGAAAACATTATTTAAATCGGATTTCTAAATAATTAGGACTTAAGTCCAATTAAATTCCTATCCTAAATGGCTAAATCTTCATAACTCTGCCCAATACTGACAACATTAACAATTCTACGGCGCGTGTCATTTTCCCAGACATCGGTCACCAATATATTCTGTAAAAAAAGTCGCTCGCTTCAGGTCAAAAGGATTTTTTTTGAAATGCCACAAGTGTATTAATTTTTGTAATTTCAACGCCTAGGCATTTTAGAATTTTTTAGAATTTAGAATGAGTGGGAGGGGGGTTAATCACTTCGACCTTACAGATCCATTGTGTCCCCCTTTCTTGAATCATAACTCATCATACAGTCCCAGGGCTTTGACAAAAGCCAGTATCTGGGACGGTTTTATAGAGGGTAGTTCTCCATCTCCAATATCAGTCGTACCAAAATTCATGGCACGAATGGTTGTCGTCTCGGCGCACTCAGTGATGAGGTGTACTGGTGTTTCACCATCTTTCCCACAGAATCTGCATTCGCCGTTTCCTCTTAGTTTTAATCTACTGAGGTGTTCATTGAGGAGACAGTGTCCTGTTAAAAACCCCGTGACAATCCGAAGACTGTTCTTACTCAGACCCAGGAAGATCTGTGATTTTTCTTGATCATAAGCCCTCAGAAACTTCTTCGAGTGTCTTAGACCATTGCAAGATTTCCATTCCAGGTTGCGGATGGAATCTTCCAAGTTCTTGAGTTCCGCCTTGAGTTGGTTACCACTTGGAAAGCAGAACGGTTCTGGTCCAGTTAGTGGAGTGTTCGCTCCTTTCCTAGCTAGATTATTTGCTTTTTCATTGCCTACTATCCCTTGGTGAGCAGGCACCCAGTGTAGGAGGACTTTGTTTTCTTTGCCTAATTTATTCAGCTTCTCTATGCATTCTTTGACCAATTTCGAATTGATTTATACTGAGTTGATCGCCTTTAACGCTGCTTGACTATCAGACAAGATGGCTATTTCTTGTTTCCGATAGTTCCTATCTAAGATAAGTTGTACGCATCTCTCGATAGCGTAGATTTCTGCCTGTTGGATACTAGGGTAAGTGCCCATTGGTTCGGAGTAATTAGCTCTCGGCCCAAACACTCCGATCCCTGTTCCCGTATTGGTTTTGGAAGCATCAGAATACCAAGTTATGGTATGGTCTTTTAACTGCTGGGCAAGCGTTTCGCTCTTCCAATCCTTCTTATTGCTCAATACTACATTGACATGTTTGTCAAAGTTGTACGTTCTTGGCATATCGTCCACTGGGAGTTGCAGGATGGTATTTCCTTTTTGAGGGTGTTCCAAGCCCCTGATCTGACAATTCTCCCAGTACTAATTCCGTTAGTGACCATTCTAATCATTGTCGCATTGGCATATCTACCAATGACAATGTGCAGTGGTGTTAGATCTAGAATGACCTCCATTGCTGCTGTTGGACAGGTTCTCATGGCTCCTGCGATGCAAACACATGCTAGTCTCTGGACTTTGCATAGGTTTAGCCTTGCCGTCCGTTGCTCTAGTTTTGTGTACCAGGCAACTGCTCCATAAGTAATCATGGGTCTTACTATCATGGTATACATCCAGCGCAAAATGTTAGGGGAGCAGCCCCATCTATTTCCGGCCAGTCTTCTGCATATCATGAGAGCCTTTATGGCTTTGCTGGTAGTGTTCTTAATATGCCTGTTCTACAGGAGTTTACTGTCCAGGGTTATTCCCAGGTACTTAACTTCCTGTGTTGGCAGTATTTCCTTTCCATCTAGTTGGATTCTTTTCAAGTTTTCAGACTTCGCCTTCTGGTGAATGGCACTATCGCGGTTTTGTCTGAGTTGATACTCAGCCCGACAGTCCTACACCATCTCTCAGTGATACGGAGTCCTCTTTGGATAATATCACACAAGGTGCCTTCATGTTTCCCCCGAGCGATCATGACTATGTCATCTGCATACCCAATGCAGTGTATTCCAGCTAGAGTTAATTCATCTAGTAGTTCATCCACCACCAAGCTCCACAGCAAAGGGGAGGTTACTCCACCTTGTGGAGTTCCTTGCGTTGTTTTAACAGCTACAGTTTTGGTGCCCATCTGAGCCTCTGCTGTTCGTGTTGACAGCATTTCCCAAAACCAGCGAATAATAGTTCTGTTCACCCCTCTTGTTTCTAGAGATCGCCTGACCACCTTATGTGGTATATTGTCAAACGCCCCCGCAATATCCAAGAAGGCACAAATTGCTGTTTCAGAGCAGTTTCTGTGGATCTGCCCGTTCTATATGCATGCTGACTATCATGCAGTGGTTTAACCTTTAGATGAGCCTAGGCATAAAAGTAAAGCACTTTTTCGCCTAAGCACAAAAGTACAAAAATATATTATTAAACTGATATTAACCGTCAATTTCAACGAGTGTACAAATTGTTACTCGATTACTTACAAGGCATTACTTTTTATATTATTTCCAACCTTTGGAATTGATTAAAAAATTATTTGTAATGTTTAATTTGTAAAAATATAGTATATTCTGCTCGGAGTAAAAATGTACTTTTGTGCCTCCCTGTTTACGCTAGTCCGTCAAACGTACAACATCGTCAAAAAAAGTATAATTTTTGCTCCTTACACAATACACTATTGTTCGGAAATAGTCTTAAGTCGAGAATGAAATTAGTATTATCTTTTGTCAAAGCGTAAAATAAAAAGATATAAAACAGCATATTTTCTGACAACGATTTGAAGATATAGTCGTAACATCAAAAGAACCTTTTTCTGCACTAGAGGTTGCGAATGAAATGTATTCGAACAGCATTTTTTTGTCACTTGTACATAAATTTCAAAATAAATCCCTGCCCTTTAGAAGTCTAATGGATTCACACGAAATTACGTCAAAAATCGGTCCAACATTTTAATTTTTAATTGATAAATAGATATGTAGTAGGTATATGTGTTATACAAATCATTTTTTATACAGTTTTATAACATTAACAATTTTTTTCGATTTATTAAACGTATTTAAACGTTACAATAGTAAGTGTAACATTTTATTTAACGAATAGATATAGGATATATATGTTATAGAAATATTTTTTATAGTTCTCTAGGACACATTTTTATAACTTTTACAGTTATTTTTCGATATATTGTAAAGTTTTAAAAATGTTGATTTTTTTATTTAAATCACATGATTAAAATTAAAAAAATCACTTGATTTAAATCATTTGATTTAAATCATGCCAACCCTGATAAAACTAGTGAATGAAAAAATATAATTTCCGTCATTTTTTGGTAAAAATCGCTGCGAGCAAGCATTCTCAAGATATTTAGAATGGAAATAGTCAATACGTCATTATTGACAAACAATGAACATGTTGAGTAGATACAAAAACATTTCAAATTTATTATTTCAGTCTAAACTATTTTAGTCTATTTAGTAAACATGTTTAATTTATGTCAATGATGACAGGTATTGATAATTTCGATTCCAAATATCTCGAAAACTATTACTAGTAGCGATTTTTACTAAGATGTCTTTTTTACACAAAAAACGTCGTAAATGTATATTTTTTTACTCAGTAGTCTTATACAGGTATAGTCTGTCCAACGAGAAGATCCTTGACAGTGATAGATGTGTCTGTCATTTTAATTTCAAAGTAGTTTATTTTATTTTACAAAGAAATAAGTTGGTACAACTGGAACGCATAGCAGGATATATTTAAAATTTGATTGACAAGATCACAAGTGATTACTTCAAAATATTGTGAAAAAAACTGTATAAAACTGAAAAAATGTAATCGAGTTATTTTATTTAATAAAAACGGTATGTGTAAACAAAACAAACAAGAACAAGACACTACATACCAAAAAAATATAAAAAAGAACTATTATTTACTTTCAAGCTTTATGAAACTACCCGCATTTATGATTATATTTATCAATATAACTTATGTACAAATACAAATTTGTAATATTCCACAGGAATAAATAAAACAACATAGGTAAATAAAACAAACTATTTTATTAATAATAACACCTACCAAATTTTATACCTTAAAGGTTGATTAATTAACTTTAATCTTAATTTTTTTAAACCAGTACCTTTTGACATTATTTTTCTGTAGTACTAAAATCCATTATTTACCTATCGTGTGATGTCGATATTTTACAGCTACTCCAGTTTTTAGTATGAGTTTAGTTTGATCCTTCTACCATATACGAGATGCACTTCTTCACTCTACGATGAAATGGTCTACAAACTTTATCGATGGCAACTTCATTGGTGTATAAGACTTTCTGCCTGGGCAGCGAGTATTAACCATAAACTGTGCTCTGGGTCTACAGTTAATTTTCACTCGATTTTTCCTCCATTTGACTTCAAAAGACACAAAACACACGTAATAATACGAATCAAAATGCATCATCTTCCAAAACGCAGGGTATTTAACAAAAGTTGACACAAAATTCTAACCTATAATTTGGCAAGACTTTGACAAGCGTCAAAAATGACAAAAATCTAACGGCGAGTTCATACGCATCGGCGTCTGTTTGTCGTTCATCGTTCCATCAAACCAATAAAATTGAAATACGATCTGTCATTTTTTAAATAAACCAATAAAACTGGTTAAAAACAACAAGACACGACGCATGACGGATTTATATTTAAACCCATCCATAGATAACTTAAAAATTATTAGAAACTTTTTTTAGTAAAATAAATAGATTGGTATGGGACGTCATCTGCTTTTTTTCTGTCATCGTCTGTCGAAACCTTACCTGAGAAAAAAAACAGAGTATACAGAAGAACTAACACTACTTCAAACCAGTTAAAAATATGTCGGGGGCGCCCTCTACAAATAGGAGTCATATTGACATCAAAATCAAATTTCTCTCATGTCAAAAAACTCCCAGACTCCCAGAAAAAATCGAAATAAAAATGAAACTTCTACACCCTGTATCTCCGAAACTAAGCATTTAAGGATACACGAACTTTTTACTAATACGAACTTTTTTACTTATTTTTATCTGCAGAATATGCTGACGAAGTTCCCCAGAATACAGTTTGGACCACCCCGTATATCAACACCGCAATATGTGTACCTACCGTATGATCGAAAAAAAGGCGTCCAGTTGGCTTGGAAATGACGATCGATAACATTTTCCATATAATTTTACATTAAAAATGACAGCGATCTTCATTTCATAGCCATCGCTGACGCCGTTTTTTCTTTCGATCATACGATATACTAAACGAGTGACGCCAAAGCTTATGTACTTACATTGTATTTGCAAAGAGGCTTTGGTAGTGTATTTGTGTGCTGCAGATGTTACAATTGCGTTTTCAGATTGATTATTACTGTGGATACTACTGGCTTGAATATGTCTCTCTTCGTAACTCCTATAATTAATAATAAATTATGATAATGATTATAATGTTTGAAGGGTAATAGAAAAAAAAAACAGAAAATGTTACAAAACCGGGTAACAGAGAAAACGATGACCTAATACGAGGCATGTTTTTTAAGTAAGTACCGTTCTGGAATTAAAAAAAACGTGCAAAGATATCGCAATAATTTTATTTTTACATGAAAGCCTGTACCTTAATCTACTTTTCTACATAATTTCCGTGAATATTGAGGCACTTTTCATAACGTGGCACCAGTTTTTCAATACCCTCCTCATAAAATTCTGCCGCCTGACTGGCTAACCACTGTATCACAACTGTTTTGACTTCGTTATCGTCTTGAAGACGCTGACCGCCCAGGTGTTTCTTCAAGTGCAGGAATAAATGGTAGTCACTGGGCGCCAGATCAGGGCTGTATGGGGGATGATCTAGAGTTTCCCATTTAAAAGATTTGATGAGATCTTTGGTCCGATTAGCCACATGTGGACGGGCATTGTCATGCAGCAAAACAATACCCTTACTCAACTTGCCACGTCTTTTGTTTTGGATTACACGGCGCAGATTGTTCATTGTCTCACAATAAGATGCTGCATTGATTGTCTCATTACGAGGCAGAAACTCCACTAGCAATACTCCTTTTCTGTCCCAAAAAACTGTGCACATGATTTTCCAGGCAGAAATTGTTTGCTTAAACTTCACTGTTTTGGGTGATGATAAATGTCGCCATTCCATGGACTGTTGTTTCGATTCTGGTGTGACGTAGGCCACCCATGTTTCGTCAACAGTAACAATTTTGTCTAAAAAATCTTCACCTTCATTGTGGTACTGCTCAAGGAAAGTCTATGCACCGGCTAAACGTTGGGTTTTGTGCAAATCCGTCAACATTTTCGGAACCCAACGTGAACACAATTTCCGGTAATTCAAGTTCTCGGTCACAATGCGATACAAAACACTACGAGAACATTGAGGAAAGTAGTCGCACAATGATGAAATTGTAAAGCGTCTGTTTTCTTTCACCTTTTCGTCCACTCTCTGCACCAAATCTTCATTAACGACCGAAGGACGCCCACTCCGTTCTTCATCATGCACATTTGTGCGGCCATCTTTAAATGCTCTCACCCATTTCCTTACCATTCCATCCCTCATAATGTTTTGTCCGTAAACTTCACAGATCTCACGATGAATATCGATCGGTTTTACGCCTTTAGCACTAAGAAATCGTATGACAGCCCGTACTTCACAATCGGCGGGGCTCACGATTGTCGGAGGCATCTTAAACACTCAATAAACAACGTATACAATGAAGAATCAGACTGTACTGGCGTCTGTGCATAGACAAGAGATGTAGGTAACCAGCGCGCATGCGCGGAACGCCGACCGTAGCGCTGCGGCGGCGGAATCGCAAAACGGTACTTACTTAAAAAACATGCCTCGTATCAACGCCTAAAGGGGCGGCCATCACGGTCTTTCTGCCGAGGAGCAAGGGGAAAGACACCACCTACCTGCTGAGCCTTATCCAGCGACAGAACTCGATGTAAGGACATCGAGTTGGCGAGTCATCAACTGGAGGGAGGAGGGTCATGGTCAGGTCCTCACAATAGGAATTGACCTCCAATCCATGGGGCAATAGAGAAAGAGGGACATATCCTCTATTATAGATACGGGACAACACCGGTATCAGGTCTAAGGAGAAACCAAGTTAAAGAGGTGGAGAAAATGGAGACAGCTCCACCTTGCGGTTTCCTCAGCCGGAGGCAAGCTCCTCGACTGTGAAGGGCGGCACGGAGGGCCAAACACCAACCGTGGAAGGGTGTGTACCCTCGGAGGAAGAACTGTTGTCCGAGGAGGATGGGAAATACCCTGTCCCCTCTACAACAGGGGTATGATGGGTTATAGAATGTGTGATGACTCAAGGAAGGGGGCACAATAGATCTTTAAGGTCGCAGTGACTATATAGTATGACTTTTTTTGAAACTTTAGTTTCGGAGATATAAATTTAAACGGACCTTTTAAAAAAAATAATTTTTTTTCTGAAACTATTTGAGACAGAGTTTACCAAAAATGCTTTTTATAACTACTACTGGGTAAATGAATTTCTAGTATAGTATGACTTTTTTTGAAACTTTAGTTTCGGAGATATAAATTTAATCGGACCTTTTAATAGGCGGCATAGGCGATAGACGAATATTTTTTAAAGTTTGCTCTAGAATAGAGGACAGTTGACAAACGTACTATATGTACACAATTAAATCTAAATTTTGTTAAAAACTCAATTGCCCATAAAAAATAGAACTCATAATAAAAATTGAGAAAACGGAAAATAATCGAAATAATATACCTTTGAAGATGATCATTCTCTAGAAGACCCTCTGTTTCCATATCTACAACAGTATAGTCCTTGTCCTTAATGTCTTTAGGGCGTTTACCGTCATCAAAGAGGTCCCTAGACGATTCTCCTGCATTCACATTACACGGTAGGCTGCCTGTAAGTCAAAAAATAAATTTTGAGTCAAAATTCATCACCTCTATATTGATTAAAAAAATTTTAAATAATTTATTTATAACGTAACATTGCTAAACTCAATATACCGTATGATACCGCGAAAAAAAACGTCCATGAGGGTTGGGGAATGACAATCTATGAGACGCCATTTCTAAAAATTGACATAAAACTTACAGAAAGATTAAAAAAGGATAGAACGTTTCCAGACACAAATCTATTTCGAAAAAAAAAAATTCTCGAATTTTAAACTATACTATTTAGAAATAATTTTAAATCAATATCAAAAAAAATATATCCTTCATAACGTCAACTGGCAGTAAGCACCATTAATGACGTTTAGGGCTTCACCTCGCTAAAATTATCATCGATTGTCATTCTTCAGCTGGCTTTGACGCCGTTTTTTTTTGGATCGTATGATATTTTCTTTGTATAGATTACTAAACATCTAGAATTACCTCCTGGAATTCTGTTTAGAGGAGCGAAATTTAAAATAAAACAATATTCATTTCTATACCGGGCGCGTCTCCAAAAGTGGTTTTATTTTTTCAGATAAAAAACGAGATTTGGTATGTTAGAATATGACATAAATTAGGATAGATTGACGTTTTCAATCGATTTTGATCACTTTCTATTTTACCGGAAATGTCTACAAATTGTGATTTTTAAATGGCACTGTCGGTATATTTTTGCTTTATTCGATAGAAAATGACACGCTGAATAGAATGATATATGATAGGTCAACTTTTGACATTTTCGCTTAAAAAAATTGTATTTTAAATTTCAATCTAGAGTGTCATGGCTGTGTTAAAAACACTAATTTTTAATCAAGGAGCCTTGGAAAAATATATTGGATCGTCTAATGTTTTCCGTGTCTTGTCCTGGCCGGTCAAAAGATGCCCAAATCGTAATTTTTATCATATCTCAATTTTTTCAAATGAAACAAGGGTGGCTCATTAGCATATTTGGAAAAAGCATTTTTTTACGAATAATTTGGTACCACACACTTGATATTTCGAGTCAAATTGTCGTTATGAACCGTATGTTACAATTTCATATAAACCATAATATGCGAAAATGTCAAAAGTTGACATATAATATCTCAATCTATTCAGAGTGTCGTTTTCTATCGAATAAAGTAAAAATATACCGAGGGTGCCATTGAAAAATCAAAAGTTGTAACAATTGAATACGTCAATCAATAGTAATTTATGTCATATACTAACATACCAAATCTATTTTTTTTTTCTGAAAAAGTTATAAAGGAGAACAACTTTTGAGACGCACCCGGTATTTCAGAAAAAAAAACGTATTTTAAACAATGCTAATTCACAATTTTCCAAAAAAAACAAACAAATATTTTAAACTCAATTTATTGAGAAAATAGACAAGTTATTATTTTAATAACTAGTCTATTAAGTAGTGACATCTAGGGCTTGACCTCGACAAAATTATCATAGATTGCCATTCCCTAGCCGCCCATGACGCCCTTTTTTCGATCTTATGGCATTATAACTGAATAACTTGTAATTTTAATTTTAAAAGAGCAATCTGTGTCATGTTCCCAATATTTTTAAAGAACGTAAATCACACAAAGTAAAATTTTCGGTCATTAAATATTGTTTTTGAGTAGTAAAATATGTAGTATTTTTATTAAAGCGGGCATTATTCAATATACCTATAACTATAGCTAACTAAACTGCGATCTTTTTATAATCTGCCAGACCTCGATTTGGCATTTTGTAAAATGACTGAAAACAGGCAGTCTTTTTGAAGAAATGTAATTATACATACACAAAATATACTATTCTATACCTCTTAAATATAGACGGCAATACCTCAGAATAGTTTTACAAGTTCAAATATTTGGGGTCCTGGACAGTTAACATCTTGAACAACGACATGGAAATAAAAACCAGAATAGAACAAGCGAGAAATGCATTTTTAAAAATGAAGAACGTTTTCCTGAACCCCAGATTGGACCTTGAGTTGAAAACTAAGCTCGTCAGGTGATATGTTTGGTCAATCCTATTATACGGAGCAGAAACATGCGACACTGAAAGTTCAAGAGATGAATCACCTTGAATCGTTCGAAACATGGATATATCAAAGAACGCTTAAAATTCCATGGACAGCCCATATCACAAATACCGAAGTTTACAACAGAATAGGCAGAGAAAGAGAATTGCTCAATATAATAAAAATAAGAAAAACATCATATTTAGGGCATATATTGAGAAATGAAAAATACCACGTCGGACAACTAATAGTTAAGGGAAAAACTGAAGGAAAAAGAGGTCTCAGCAGTAAGAAACTATCTAGAGCCGAGAATATACCTAACAGCGAGCCGAGAATCGTAAAGATTTTGCCAATGTGATGTGAGCCAACCTCCACGAAAGAGACGGTACATAAAGTCGTTGGAAACATAGGAAATCCCATGCAAATTTTAAATTGTCCAAATATTGGCTCACCTGTCAATTTTACAGCAAAGTCGAATATAGGTTTTAAAGGTCTGCATATGCTGAATTCACATGGCAAATTTGAACAATTTTCAACAAGTCGATTTTAAGTAATTTAAGAAAAACTGCATATATTTTTAAATTGAAACAGCGCAAAATTAGCATGGAATTTCCGGTTTCCAACGACGACGCCACCACCCGGTATATGTATATTATATTTACATATTTTGATTGAACAGTGTAGCCCGACCTTTACAGTATTTAACAAAATAAAAACAGCACAATATTATAGTAAAGTTTCAATAGGTAATTTAAAAATAATAGGTAGCAAATTATGAAAGAAACAGCCAACTTGCTGAATATTTTTTTTAAATCCTAATCACATTTATGATGTATCTACACTTTTAACTTGGGTATTAATAGTATGCAAAAAATGCACGCGATCTGAATACCATTATCCTTATCAGCTGTTTGCCACATACAGCAAAAAACGCCAGCTTTAAAGAGGCATGTTTTCTGTATGTTAAATTACGAAAATATTAGTAAAATACTAAAAAATGCATATGTAAAAACAAAGAAAATCGATGCAAATATAGTTGCATAAGCTCAAAAATTCAAAAACCGTCCCGATAGCGAAAAAAACTGGGTGACATGGGCCACCGTTTATCGATCAAGTCACAAGAGTTAAATCGCGATTCGGCAACGAATTTCTTCGACCTGTACGTTCTCTGTCACTTACTTCTCACCTGATTTGCGATCACACACCCCAAATCGCCACTTTTCCTACGGTTTTCCTTCGAATTTTTCGACGAGTTCAGATGGTTCTCCGCCATGACGTTTCAGTTTTCGTTCGACAAAGTTCTGGTTCGCGAAAAACACTCCGGTTCTGTTTAAATCACCGTAAACTTTAACAAACATAAATACTAGCACTAGTTTAGTTACATTCTAGACGTAAAGGGCCCCATTTAGGGCCGGAATTTGCTAAAATATCGTTGTGAAATGACTTCGAAAGAAACAGGGCGAAAAAAGTGGAATTTTTAGGTTAGGTTTCGGATGCAATTGTCAAATTTAATCGCTGACGCTCCTGCGCGCTGATTTCCGAATCGACTCCGAGATGGCCTTGAAATGTTTGGATTGTTTTGTCTGTTTTCAATGTACGAGGGTTGAACGAATAGTACTTGATAAATTTATAAGTAATTAACATATTTTTACTAACTGAAAAGATAAATAAATAATTAAATAGCAAGTGACCGGCCAGACGTTTCTAAATAGGCGGTTATATAAGGCATATTTTTATAGATATATAGGGTGATTCAAATATATATTTTCAATATTCAACGTGTCTGCCGAATAAAAAAATTCTGACGCATTCATAATTTTTAGCGAACAGCACTCTACAAAAATATCTTTTTGACGCCTTTCCATAAAAGTCCTATTGTAAGTAAGCTTGGGACTTAACACAAACAGAAATTATAATAGGTTTAAATAGGAAATTTCGTAGAAAAAGTCTATAGTGTTATGGCCCTTAAAGGTGAGAAATTAAAGAAAAATAATAATAGAGATAACTACTTCTAATAACATCAAGGGTCCCAATATTAATGTTTACAACTATACACTGTCCATAGGTACCTTATTTTCATTGTTTGTTCTTTTCAGGTACATAAAATTGAAGGAAAGTACCCTTTCTCAGGTAAAAAAAAGCATTTTACTGTTAGCACCGAAATATTTCATTATTTATAGGCTTGGTGCATTCTCCGCCAGTGCTGCCACCATCGAGTATACGAAAAATCTATACTAATATATAAAATCCTTAAGTGACTGACATACTGATTAATCACGATCCTGTTCAAACCACTCAACGTAAGAAGCTCAATTTTGGCATACAGGTTGATTCTATGGTGTAGAGGTTCGATAAGAAGGGATTTTTCGAAATTCCAGTTCCAAGAGGGTGAAACCACCCCTCAAGTATTACAATATTTTTTATTTAAAAACGGTCAAATTTCCAAAAAAACTCTTAAACACGTATATTTTATTTTGTTTTTTTACATATTTTAATTTTTTTTAAAGATGTATACAGGGTGTTTTGAAAAATCTGGTCTTTGATTAATCACGATCCTGCTTAAAGCGCTTGACGTAAAAAGCTGATTTTTGGAAAACAGATTGACTTTAGGGTGTAGAGGTTCGATAAGAAGGGATTTTTCGAAACTTAAATTCTAAGGGGGTGAACTATCCCTCAAATATTAAAATATTTTTTATTTAAAAACCGGTGAGTTTTTTGGAAAAACTCTTAAACACGTATATTTTATTTTGTTGTTTTACATATTTTAAAATTTTTTATAAATTTATACAGGGTGTTTCATAAAATATGACCATTGAGTAATCACGATTCTGCTTAAACTTCTTGACGTTTAAAGCTGATTTTTGGCAAACGGATTGACTGTGGGGTGTAGAGGTTCGATAAGGAGGGGTTTCTCGAATCTCAAATTCCAAGAGGGTGAAAACGCCCCTCAAATATTACAATTTT